AAAAAAAAACCACATTATTTTCTTGTTTTTAATTCATATGGCTAAAGATTTTGTTTTTTCTTTATCTTTTTTCAAAACTTAGCAACACAGTATAATGGAAGAAAGAGCTATAGAGAGAGAGAGAATTTGGGTTTTAATATAAAATTGATAGAGCAATTCTTTAAGTACAACAGATAACCTGAGATAAAAAAATTTAAAAAAAAAAATAAATAAATAAATAAATAAAAACCCTTCCATCAAAATCAAAGTAAGATTGAGAACATAAAAATGGAATAATAAAGCAAGAAATTAGTACAATCTTTTTCTTGTGAAGCATGAAAATGGAATCTTTTCTACTATTAATTAAGATCAATAAAAAAAGGCAAGAAATTGTACAATATATAAAAATGGAAGCTTTTTTAAGAGGGGTTGGGGCTTTTGCTAATTGAGGGAAGAAAATATATATGACATCACCTGCAGAGGAGGAAAAAAGCTGAAAGCCCAAAGGCACAAATCTGGGATTTTTATGAGGTTTTTGAGCCAAGCATATTATTAAAATGATGTAAATGCAGCTTGCAAAAAAAATTGTCCATTAGGGTAGGGCTTTTGTGGTGGTGGGGCTAACTCGGAATTTGGAATTATGTTTATTTTTTTTCTTGAAATTGCCATCCTCGGACGTTGATGTTGTTGCTTTTCTAAATTTATTATTATTATTATTTATTTTTTTTTTTGGTACAAAGATGGAGGCCATAGGCTCGAGGTCTATGAAAGTATAATCCGTCCTCGGGAATCATGATCAAGTCATGCATCCAACCCTGTGGGAGGTGACGATAATCTTTGGAAGCCTAGTGTGAAAGATGCCGCAAGTGCCGCCAGATGGTTAGCCGCAAAGTTGGCTTCTCGATGCACATCACTAGTAGAAAAAACGTTTTTTATAACGGGTAAAAATGACTTTTTATAACGGTTTTGAGTTCGTTATCGTTTCAGGTGTTATAGAAAGTATGAACTTTCTATGACGGTTGTTGAACCGTTATAAATTAACTGCTATTTATAACGGGTAACATAGACCCGTTATAAATATTAAATTTACCTGTTATAGACTACAATATTTTATAACAGTTTCTCATTCACCCGTTATAAAATATACTATATTTATAACGTACTTTCATTTACCCGTTATAAAAACAATGGCCTTGTTTGGCGATCAGCGGATAGCGATAGCGGATTGTATTAGCGGATAGCGGATAGCGGATTATATTAGCTGATTTGACTAGCGGATTGCATTAGCGGTTTTTAAATAAGTGTTTGGTAAATAGCTGAAAGCTTATAGTTGTTTGACATTGCAAATTACCAATAAAGACATTTTATTATTTAGGGTGTATTCTTTTAATAATAATATATTAAAACATTTAATATTTTTTAGTCGGTAATTTATAAATATCTATTTTTTTAAAAAAAAATTACTAACAATTGATCAAGAAGTTATGAATTTTACATTTTTTAAGATAAATTAATCATATAGATGACATATTATTATTTGTTAGCATCATAAACCAATGTAGATTGTAAACTAAATAATACAAATTAAAAAGTTCTAAATTAAAATTGTAGATTGTGAATCCTCTATCCCCAAAAAGCTTCTCTAATGAGCTTTTTCTAAATTAGAGTTTTGAGCCTAAAAAGCTTATCAAATAAGCTATTTACCAAACAAGCTCAATAGCGGATTCGACGGGTCAAACCTCTCAATTAAGTCCAATCCGCTAATTTATCCTCAATCCGCTATCTTCCAAACGAGGCCAATAAATTTGATAACGGTTAAATAATGACCCGTTATAATTTCGAACTGGCATTTAAATAGCACAATTTTTTATATCGTCGATAACACCTGTTATAAAAAATGGTGCAACATTCTATTAAAAAAAAAATAATAAAAAAATAATAATAAAAAACTACCATATTAACAAAAAAACAAAACTACCATATCAACAATACCAAGTGACAAATAGTTTCACACCACATCAACAAACTCCGAAGCCTGTCTAACAAAAGTCTAATCTTATCCTACTTCACTAATGAAGTTATATCGAGAAAATACTGAGTCCAACGTCTCGTTACATCATTAATATCATCACTCGAGAAGGGTTCGTCCAAATTAAACACCTGAAATTTGAAAAAATAATTATAACATATGATCAAGACAAAAAGATATAACAAATTATTTACTTGAAATTATACTAGTGCTTGATATTTACAAATTATTTTTGTTTACAATTACCTGATCAAAGTTGTTAGTAACGTCGAGCGTGATGATTTCCAACATATATCTCATAACAAAATACCCGCATTCAATACCTCCCGATTGTTGGCGACACTTGTAAAATATGAAAAGAATCGTATAAAATTAATAACTTACGAAAAATAAGATAAATGTAATGATTAAATTTCTAGTAACAAAATGAAATTGCAAGTTACAAAAAAACATTGTTTAAAAAATAAATTTATCTTTGGATAGACCAATTCGGGTTTCTGTTTGTATAGACGATTTCCCTTTATTAGCTGATATGTGGAAAATGCCCTAACATAATAAATGTAAAATAGAGAATTTAGTTTCAAAATAAATTCTAAAAAATAGATCAAAATCATCTAAAATAAACATACGTCGTGATTATCTGGACTATATCATTCTTAAGCTTTTTTTGACAAGGAACAGAACCAAATCCACCGTGTATAACTCTTGTTGAAACCATAGCAAATGACATGCTCTCTGATTTCTTCAACAATAGTCGTCTATTGTTCAGGCAATTCACACACGGACAGTAAAATTTTCCATTCATAATTTCGGAATCATGTCGCTTAGCAAACTCCAAAAAGTCTTCCACTCCATTCTCATATTCAATACTTGTGCACATAGCATTTATCCACTTACGATCCAGACTTCCTATAATGTTCATGTTAAATTGACAAGTCGAATAAGGACAATATATTGAGAATTCTATTTTGAGAAAACAATGTCACAAGAAACAAAATATAAGACTATAATATATAGTGAAAATATGAAACTCGGATTAAGTTGAAATATCACATATGTCTTCATTATCAATGTAAAGAGAGTAATGTTTTCATTTTCTGAAATGTATAGTTAAATTAGATATTCGTTATGGTATTTTGGAGTTAATCTCGAAAAGCAAACAATTAAAATTATCATGCATAGTCCCTAGTTCCCCTCAGCTTGATGGCAAGAAGGGCCATTTAAACACAACCAAAATTATAGCTTACAAAGCATGTAAATAATCCTTTCACTTGAGTGTCAGTACAATTTTTTTTGCTCTTAATTACTAATGTGATATAGTTTACAAATTTCACATACCCTTTGTGGTTTCCAGGAGTCCACATTTTTAGTATTTTTACTAGTTTTTTCTTCCAGCAAGAATCTAACACAGTTAGAATCTACAACCCTAATACAGTACTATTAGGACTTAGGCCTAATAGTAGTGACAAAATTTACCAAAATTTCCAGTGCTTTTTTTTCTCTGTGCAGACAGATGATGATATGATATGTGTTGTGTTACTGTATTGCCTTTCATTTCTGTGGGTATATGATTTAAATTTGACAAAGGGATCTGTTTTGCAATTAGGCAAGAAGGTAGTCTTAATAGTAAGCCTAGATTTTGTTTAATATACTACAGATACAAGTACTTGGTAAGCATCAAGTATATCTTGGTAAGCATCAAAGCATATCTTGGTAAGCATATCTGATAAGTACTTCAGGGGTCCAACTGAATCATCACCATATACAAATTAAAAATCAAATCACTCTTCAAAATTCTCAGAGTTCATGACTGCCTAACTATGATTCCACTACTTAAATGATATGTAAAGAAAACAACAGGTACTGTCCAGCCTAGACTATCTTCTGAGTAGTACTTTCACCTGAACTTTTCCAGAAACATGACTAGAAGAAAACATGAAACAAGCAGGAAGATGAGAGAAGGGAGAGAAACACAAACAATTTTCTAGCATTCTGCATAAACTCCTAATTACTGCTTAAGATAGGTACGTAACCTAAGCAAATTAGTCATAACAGGATACAGCTCTCATCATAGTCGTTTCACATGTTGTGACTCTTATTTGAAAGAAAAAGATGCAACATCTAGAAAATTAAAACATACCAGTATGAGTAATCGGTTCTTAGACTGCAAGTAAACATTGATTCCCTCGCTAAAAACAAGCGGAGGAGAAAATTTTCTAATTCTCTGCTTTGCTTCAATGACAGTGTCGTTCAGCTCACTACAAGATCAATCCTGGAAAGATTAGCCTCAGGCAAACACAATCATAAGCTTTCTAGTTATTATATGTAGCCTGTAAACTCTTATGAGAATCAAAATCTGGCCGACTTGCAAAAATATTTTAGTTCAATCAGGCATAATAATGGTAGATTCAGAATGTGCAACACAGCAGTATTCCATTCATAGATCTGTGGCCATAGATAACTGCAGTCCACAGAGAGTTCATTTTTTACTGCAGAAGTTATTTACGAGTAATACTTCACATGGACCTATGGAAAGTCTTCATCGGGTAAGAAGCTGGATTTATCATTGCAATACATACTTCAAGATGACATAATTTTTAGTTTTTCACAGATGAGTTAGATACTTAGATATGCAACACAATGACTTAGAGAATTAAATATGTAAGAAGTTCTATTGGGATAAACCATATAGTTCCCAAGAAATCTCCGAAAAATCAAAGCATATCTGAAGGTTAAAGCATATACTTGTCCACAGAAGCTAAACAAACAACAAAACCAAACAAAAAACCAAGACTAAACAACTAAGCAAACAAACAACAACCAAGGCTAAAGCAACAACAAACTATCTACAAAGGAAACGAAGACTAGCAGTATGAGCACTACAAGGTTTG